CTAACTGCGGCTTGTTATTTTTTTTTTTGATAATATTATTTTTTTTTCGAATGGAGAAACTTATTGAAAAAAAAAAATAAAATAAATAAACAATGAAAAAATTTTTTTGAAAAAAAATAATACTTATTTGTGATCACAATTTCACCATTTTGTGTAGTGTATGTAATGTGACACAACATAATAATAGTCACGACCCTTATTAGGAAATTCATATGTTACCAAATTTATTTTAAACTTTTTTGATTCAGCAAATAAATATAATTCAAAAAAACAATAAACAATCTTTAAAGTTTAGAAACGACGATATATTGAGAAAAACAAAGAGAATTATTTTTATTCAAAACATTTGATCCCTTTACAAAATAAATAATAATTAAAATTTTTTTTAAAAAAGTAAATTTATTTCATCTGGAAAATTGATCTTCAACTTACGTACAGTATACACGATAATAATAAGCAGAGAGATTTGGCAATTTAGCATGCAAGCTGTACATGCTCTCGATAATTGCAGGGGGTAAGCAAGCAGCTGTTTGTCAATTTTACGTGTAATTTCGGGATTTAATTTATACATGAGATTATTATTTATGAATTGTTTATATTATACATATATTAATAAGTTGATATATACACATTGTTTGACTATTTCGGAATTGTTTGCACTTAATATTAATATATTAATATGTATTTATTTATGATCATATTACATGTATATTTATTATTTACAATAATTATAATAAAATCATATGCAATGAAACTGGTACTAGACAAAGTGAACATTAGCTCACAGATAAATTACAGGGGACAAAATTTAGCGGGGTTGGTGATAATTTTTTTGTTTTAAAAAAAAATAGTAATAGTCTCGTAAGAAAAAATCTTTTTTTTAGAGCTTTGTTATTTCTTGTACAATGTAATTTGAAAATCTTTTATTAATTAATATTGCATCCATCACCCAAGGAAAAAACCCGTAATTACACACATTCAAGACAATGTTTTGTGAATATATTAATATACAGGATTTGCATCAAAGACAATAAACGCTCATAATCCCGTATTATGTTTGAGAATTATAAAAGCATCACTAATTCGCTCACTTTCATGTAAAAAAAACATAAAATTACAAATCCTTTAATAAACACAATTTTATTTATAAAAAGCAAATTAATATTTATAATAACATTTAAAAAAATCCTTTCAACAGTGAAATTTTTGCAGGTTGTTGATTTGGCTCTTAGTTTCTTGCTTCACTATAAAAACCAACTCTACATTATCAATCAAAGAAATTGAGCAAACAGGTACACTTTGAAGAAATTGAAAATCTATGGAAGGATTTCAAGCAATTAGTTGGTAAAAAGGTTGAGCAAGATTTGACATTTTCATTCGGTAAAATGGCAATTGAAATTACTTGTAAGGAAAAAAGGTGTTGCTGCCTCTCCACAATAAAAAATTTATACCAACGAAAAACAAATTCTAGAAGGAAAACAACAAGAGCAATCTATGAATGGGTTGACAAGCAAAAGAAAAGAGAGATAGAAAAAGAAGAAATAAAATGGCGAAGATAAAGAAGATGAAGAAAGAAATTAGTAATATTAATGATAATAAAATAGTCTAGATTTGCACCAGAGTAACCAAATGCTTATCCATGCAATTGTTCTGGTGGTTTTTTATCTTGATATTTAATATTAATATACATAAACTAAAATCATCATGTATTTTTCTTCTAGTAAAAGTCAAAATGAACATTTTAAGAAACCAATCTGAAAAAAGCCAAATACTTCTAGAACCTCAAATCCCAATAAAAATTGTTACCATTTCCTTTTTTGTCTAGAAAATTGGTCAAAGTTCAATACAAGGAATCTTATAATTAATCATTTTTACCTATTACTATATAATGTAAAAAACACGACAGATTTCGCTTCACATTCCGATTTCCATATTTATAAAAAAATAGGTATCAATAATTTCACGTTTATTAATGAGTGCCCGTTAAAATTTTGCATTTTGTGCCTACAAATAAGTAAATAATGCCAGAGCAATGTCAGAAACCATTAGTTCAAGCTCTAGTTAATAAAGTATATTTTAATCAGATTGTGAGTCGAGATTTTACTTTAGTCGATTTATTATTATTATTATCGCCGACTTTCTACCAAGGTTAATCTATATATTTTATGTTTGAATCATCGTTTTTATCAGAAAATAAATTAATAAGCTATATTTTTTCCGAATGGTAAAATCGACTGTTTTATTTTCAATCAATTTGGATTTTTTGATATTAGTCCCAATTTCCTACACAGGAAAATGAATGAATGTCAATTATTCGAATTAAAGATCATAACGAAAATGTAGGTTATACATTGAAGTCTGATAAAACATTTTCCCTCCATTCCATTTCATTTATCAATTTGAGTGATCATTTAGTATACTTTAAATAATTTGTGTTTTTTTCTTCTGGTAAAGCGAAACCAACAATGTCAGTGGTAGAAAAGCCTTAACCATATGTTTATAAAATTTCAACAAAAATTTAAACATCCTAAAATTTGATTTTTTTGTTAACATATTAACATTATAAATGCTTAATTTTACCTAATTGTTTGTTTCTTTTAGGAATTTGGTATCTCAAATTTCTTTAGTGTCTCAACAGTAAACATATTGAATATAAATATATATGATTCCACTAGACTGGAATAAAAAGGCAAATCCAAATGCTCCCTTACATATAGTGAATTTTTAACGTGTTTTTTCTGTTTCATTTTGTTAAATGAAATTTTAAATATTGGATTTCGAATCCAGTTAAAACTTTATGTTATCAATCCTCATCATCCTCATTATTTTCAGATCCCTTGATTTGGGACTTTAATAATGAATTAGCTTCAAAAACAAAGTAATCAATCACCCAGCACACAACAATACAATTGACATCAAAAACAATTTATTAAACTGAAATGTGGTATTGTTCATTTTTCATTTTAACATTTGGCTCAACTTTTGACATATTATATTAATTATTCAATTATAAAAATGTGTGATTCTGAATTTGAGAAAAATTAATTAAATTTATTTTAAACTTTTTAGAAATAATAATAAAAATAAACAAATAAATTATTAATAATGA